TAAAGGTTCCCCTCACACATATGTGCTAGACTCTAAGGGGCGGTGCTCACCTCCGTTTCAAAGCCGAAGAGACAGCGCTGTCCGAAGACGTCTCTGTGATCATGTGGCCAGCATGACTAAACACCGAAGGCGCATGGAATCCTGTTACCTTCCCACCAAAGAGGGTCCCTATTTTTCTACTTGCATTTCTTACGTGCTTTCGAACTGCTAGGTTGGCAGAAGCTGGGACAAGTAACGGGAGCTCACTCCGTTACGCGGTGCTAGGGATTTGAACCGCCGAACTGCCAACCTTTCTGATCGACAAGCTCAGCGTGTTAGCCACTGAGCCGCCGCATCCCTTTCAAGTATAATAAAGGGAATGCATATTTGATTTTACATGCATTGACTGCAGAACAATGGAAAAATGAAGAGATCCCAACAGATGAAAATGTGATTTAAAAAAAATTAGAATGTGCAGAAATGGATAGGCTAACACTTATAATTAAGGAAAAGAAAGAAACTAAATACTTTTCAACCTGGGATTTATTTTATCAATGGTTAGCTAATAAAAACAGGAGTTAGACACATGGAAATATAAGAAAAGGATCAATAATATAAGGGAGATATGTTAAAATGGTTAAGTAAACATTATTATTAGTATTAGTATTATACAATCAATACCAATGTAATGAACACTGTTGTAAATATTTTGATTACTATTTCTTAAAACTATTTGTACCCAGATAACACACTGTTTAATTGAAAATGGAATCTTTATAGCAATAGCAGTAACACTTAGACTTATATACCACTTCACAGTACTTTTACAGCCCACTCTAAGCAGTTTACAGGGTCAGCCTCTTGCCCCCAACAATCTGGGTCCTCATTTTACCCACCTCGGAAGGATGGAAGGCTGAGTCAAACTTGAGCCTGGTGGGATTTGAACTACCAAATTGCAGGCTGCCAACAGTCAGCAGAAGTAACTTGCAATACTGCCCTCTTACCACTGCGCCACTGAGGCTCTTATGTATAAAATAAAAAAAACTTGATGGAAAAGAAAAGAGGTAGATTCACATCACAGGCTAAGCCAGGAACAAGCAGATTCTTCTATGGTGTAAAGCAGGGGTCCCCAACTCCCAGGCCTCGGCCCGGTACTGGGTCATGGTCTGTTCAGAACTGGGCCGCACAAGTGGCAGATGTGTTAATTATTAAATGTTGGCAGCTATGTGTCTCTGCGTTTCAACTTGCCATTAGAGTAAATGCAGGGAGATGTTGCTTTCGAGCGGGTTAGATGGAAAAACGAAAACTCCATGATTCTGCGGAAGATGACGAAAGCCTGAACCCTTTTCAAGGACATCATAGCAGGTGTGGAGTTGAAGCAGACGGTTCCCATAACAAGATGAACTTGTTTATATGAACTGTGTGAGAGGTTTGGGGTTTGGCTGTGGGAAATTATTACTTAATTTTATGAACTGGTGCGTGGGAAAGTCAGAGTTAGTTTTGCTTTGACATTACCATACTGTGTACTCAATAAAAAGTAAGTTTTTTGGAAACAGAATGAGCCTGGAGTTTTAGTTGGATTCTTGAGCATGCTCACAGCTCCTTTTGCAGGAGTGGTGGGCACTCTCTCACGCATTTGAAGCTTCATTCATGTGTTGTGCCCCCCCCCCCCCCCGGCAGCAGAGTTGGACAGTGAGGAGGTTGGGGAGGAACATGGGCCAGTCTTGAGGGCTGAGGAGAGCTCAAATGAGGGCTCTGCGTTGGAGGCAGAGAGGAAGCTAGACAGCAGTGAGGCAGAGGAACAGCTGGAGCTTGTTCTCAGTGTGCGCATGCGCAGAGCTGCCAGAAGACAAGAACAATTAAGAAAGCAGGGTCAACTTAGGAGTAAAGCCACACCTTGGAGGTGATTGTCCTCCCCCAAGGGAAATAAAAGAGGAGCGAATGGGGAATGGGCTTTTGCCGGAAACAATTCGTTCATTCAGTCGTTTCAAGAGTGGAAAGTTCTGTTTGTGACTATAAGAAACTCTGTGCCAAGTTCTGCCTTGCCCTGTGTTTGGAAACTAGTTATTTGGCAGCTCGC